ACGGGCATGATGACTCTATGTTTATCATCCCCCGCGTTTTCATGTTCACCTGGTGTAAGTCCTAATCTCCAATCTTTTGGTGACCGTAAGACAGTATCAAATTGGTCAGGCAGAGTCCATTGGCCATTTTGTGGGGATGGCGTAGGAAAAAAGGTACCAACACAAAATAAGACAGCCTGATTAAAACGCCTAAAGCGCACCTAGAACACGCCTAAAGTTTCACACAATCCAACTAAAAATCTCTTCATGGAGAGTAGTAACTTAACGTCAAAATAAGGGGCTAGAAATTGAAATCTCCAGGCAGATCTTTCGGTGGTCGCAAAAGACAGTATCAGATGATAGAAATTGGCCAAATACATGTATAGAGAAATGACATGCCGGGGTCCATTTCTACTGTAACTTGGTAGAGGCCAGTCTTTTCGCCTTGCATTGAGTAAACTTGTTAAAAAAAATACCATCATCATCCTTCTCATTTTATGGTCATTGCAATATTAGAAAGATATGGCGTCCTTATAAAGACCTAGATTTTACTCCAATATTGACCGAGCCATCGAGTCGTCTTTATTGCCTCCAAATCAGCCAGATAAAATTTGCCTCGTGGGTTTTTTTGTGACCTACTTTTGGGTCTGCGACCTTTTTCCGAACACTGTTCTTTCAGCTAGCCAAGGACATGGACCGATGAGTACATCTAAAATACATCGGCATTCTTTCTTCTTTTTCCCGTGTCAAAATTACTGTGTCAGAACTGCCCTGAGAAAGGTGTCAGACAGTAACCAAAACGTCGGCTGAATAAAAGACTTGGTTGTGTAGAAAGAGTATTACCAACCTGTCGAAACTATTCACGGTGTATATTGGTGTTCATATCAAGGACATTGTTCAATTATTGTAGATTAAAATTTGCCTCGTGAGTTGTTTTCTGACCTATTTTTCTGTCGGCAACCTTTTTCGGAACACTGTTCTTTCACCTGCCCAAGGACATGGAACGTTGGGTACATCTAAATAACGGCATTCTTACCTCTTTTTCCCGTGTCGATTACCCTGGATCTTTTTATGATCACCATGCATACCGTGAACATAGACTGTATTACAGGAAGTTCCGGAAGACTAGGGGGTCGAGTATTTTTTTGTTCATCCCAACATTTCATGACTAGACATGGTGACAGCACACTCAAGTTACATGTATATCAACTTAAGCCTCCAAAGCATGCCGAAAACTGGGGGTTTGGGGGGTCTTCAGGGTCTTTGAGATGTTTTAGGCTGTATCCAGGTTAACAGAGACGGCGTACTATCTAGACTAATTGGCACTTATATCAATGAGCATTGTTCAAAGATTCAACAATACGTCCTCATCAAGACCAGTCAATTCATTTACTAGATTAAGTAGGTATGCATAGATTATATAGGCCATGAGACAGCTCTTATGTAGACTATATTCAATTTGGTACTTATACCCAGGACATTGTAAAATGATTCAAGATAAAAGTCTGCTTCGTGGGTTGTTTTGTGACTTAATTTTGTGGAGGCGACCTTTGTCGGAAAACTGTTCTTTAACCTAACCAAGGACATCCTCACCTAGTCCTGGTCCTGCAATTTGAACCAGTCAAAATTACGGTGTCATAATTGCTCTGAAGAAGGTGACAGACGGTCACCGAAACGTCGGCTGAATAAAAGACTTGGTTGTGTAAAAAGAGTCTCTTTACTCAGTGTCTTACCAACCTGATGAAACTATTCACGGGTATATTGGTATTAATATCAAATACACTGTTCAATTTTTTAAGATAAAAGTCTGTCTCGTGGGTTGTTTTCTGACCTACTTTTGGGTCTGGGACCTTTTCGGAACACTGTTTTTTCACCTAGCCAAGAACATAGAACGTTGGGTACATCTAAGTGACGACATTCTTTCTTCTTTTTCCCGTGTCGATTGCTTTAGATCTTTTTATGATCACCATGCCGCAAAGAAAGACCGTAAAACAGCAAGTTCCGGACGAACTAGTGGGTCGAGCATCAGTCAGGCGTGCTGAGTAAAAAACACGCTTCGAATTCTCTTCTACCTCAAGCACCATCTCTATCAACAGGAATTGGTGAAATATGAAATAACAAGATGGGAATGCTTCGTGAGGCAACTGCCGAGTTTTGGCTCCGAATAGCGTCTTTGAAGAACTACCCAACCGAAGCTAGGTCAGGAGGGCCAAAGAGTTCATACGACTTCTACAGAATCTATTCGAATTTTACGAAATACATAACCATGGATGGATGTTCTAACGAAAGGTAGTGGATATTACTGAAAATCCAGCAAATTTTTCCGGTTACTTGACTGTCATCTTGTGTAAACCTAGATGGTATCTAGTTCAAGAGACAGATGATAATGTAGGGTATATTGACGATTATGTCGATTTAAGCAGAGTTCAATCGTTTAATATGAAGACCTTAGTTTAATTAGGTGAATGAAGTAAACATAGACTGAGTCGGTGAAGGTTAGACATCCAGATAAAGTTATATAAGCAACTGAATAAAGTTTCAAGTAGCAAAAGTTCACTGACAAAAGGTAGCAGTGGATGCTACTTGCAACGTGAGTGGGGTCGTGTGGTGTAACGGCAGAGCGTTCTCCTCAGAACCAAGAGGTCCCGGGTTCAAATCCTGCCAACTCACACCAACTTTTGTCCCCTTGGGAAAGGCACTTTACACGACTTTCCTCACTTCGCCCTGGCATTTTTGAAAATCTATCCAGTTGCTTGAGTGACTGTCATCTTGTGAAAACATAGATTGCAAATCCAGGTCAACAGACGGCTTACTATCTAGACTAATTGGCACTTGTATCAATGGGCATTGTTCAAGGATTCAATAATAAGTCCTTATCAAGACCTCAATTTATTTACTAGGTGTTTGGAGTAGTTAAACATAGATTATATAGGTCATGAGACTGCTCTTAAGTAGACTATATTGGTACTCATATCAAGGGCATTGTTCAATGATTCAATATGGCATTCTTATCATGACCTCAATATCTGTTATCACCTATACCAGTACCAATATTTATTGAGCTTTTGAGTTCTAGTCTTTGTCGGCCGGTATTACGAGGCAGTTTTTGCCTCTCTGATGGGGTCAGAATGGTCCTTAAATAGGGTCAGTGTCCGAAAATTAGGTCGCAGAATCCGGGATTGCAAACAATGTCTGACATGAAAGGTCTGTGGTACCACACCTGTACAATTTGACAAAGCAACCTGTGGTAACCAGTGATGATAGACTGGCATGGATGGTGTGGTGTGGCGTAACGGTAGAGTGTTCAACTCAGAACCAAGAGGTCCCGAGTTTGAATCCTCATGCCACCGATCGTGTGCCTCTGGGGAAAGGCACTTTTCACGACTTTCCCCTCTCCACTCATCAGGCGTAAATGAGTACCTAGCTTTGCATGGTTAGGGACGTCCCTCGGATAGGACGTTAAATGGAGGTCCCGTGTTTGGGACAGCCACACCCCACCTCACTTATCGAAAAGAGTAAGGGTCCTTACAGAAGTAGGTGGTTCAAAACCACACAGTACCCTTTTTAGTAACTTTTTGCAATTTATACTAAGACAAAGGAAAGAGTACAGAATTAGAAAAAGGATGTGTCAGCTACCCACGACAGGTTACTGTCCAAGTGCTCCCACCAACCCACTCCTGCCAACCTGACACATAAGGATACAAAAGACAGACAACTGAGTCAACAACCCTAACCACAAGACCACCTTCTGTAGACAAGAGGCTGAGAGATCGGGGTCGCTGTTTTATGTACACAAGCCACATGTAGAATAAATACGTTCAATTTGCAGCACAAGTATAGCACTATTATTTGGTAGAGAAGAAGATGCACGATGATAACGAAATGAGACTGTTTATTAAGATTGCAGTTGGTCTTACTTTTACACTGTCAAAGTATCTATATTGCAACAACCATCTACATATGAACAATTACAAATGTTTAATGTTTGTTACAAAGTAAATTATGAACATAATAAGTCTAGTCTACGTGGCTATACTTTCACAAATCTAAAGGTTCTCTATTGTAAGTAAAATTTGTAACTGTTGAAAAGCTCAACAAAGACTGTTTGTAAGTGAAGATTATACCCTCATATTCTCTATTGTTCTAAACACTATTATAGCATATACATGTTGTATAACGTTATACTCTACTGGCTAGCATAAGTATGACTGTAATACATGTCAAAAACAATAACATGCTCAAAATACCTTTCAAAATTACTAGCACCTCGTAAACGTTACATGATGATACTGACCATTGGAGTGCATACAAAATATAACCTCAACCTCTCTAACAGCTATGTAACAGTATACGTACAGCAATAACATACATGTGCTATGAAGCATCAGTTACTAACGTTTCAAATTGTCATCTCATTTCTTACTATGTCCAGTGAGTGTTGGGTGTTATATGATGGTGAGAGCAAGTAACATATGTGTAGAATATTTGTAACTTCATGTAACTTTTAGGCAAAAACTATAGTAAAATTATTAAAACGGCACAAGTCAGATATTCTGTGAGGCTGTTGCTCTCAACATATGCTTGCTGAATAAGAATAAACATGATAACAGCCAATCTGATATTTGTTTACCTTCACTGTTACTGGATGGCATCTACATACAAAATATAACACCTCTATAGCTGTTACAGTTATTAGTATTGAAATGCTAAACATACATAAATGCTGTATGCAGGAAAACTACATTACAGCTAGTTACGTTTCAAATCGCCAAACGATATCAAATCTGAACGGTATAATATTGTTAAATACTTGACCAAACATTATGAAACTAAATGCATTACTACAACACTTGTGTAGTACCCTGTACTACAGTATTGTCCAATATAATGTGTCCGTTTTCAAGCTCCAAAACATAAGATGTCACAAAGTATATGCTTATAGTCATGAATAATATTATGATATTCTTCATGACATAAAACTAATCATAATATTGCAAATCTGCTTAACACATAGGTTATAACTTTGCACTATGGTGGATATATGAACTCATAAGATAGTCCAAAGCATAGTAGGTCCTTGGAATCTACTATAAAACAGTTCTTACATGAACTAGAGATGTTTATAGTAGATTTTTCACTATCAATGTTAAATGTGTATAGCTGTTACACAAACTAAACTTTTTGAACTGCACAAATGCAATTTAAAATTTGTATCATCTAAGGTTAATTGATCTACTTGTACAATACATTTGTACTTACTTGTACATTCTTCCACATTTTTCACTATTTTTCTTATGAAATGACATACCTAAAATACACATAATTCTCCTAATTGAGAAGTATGTCATGTGTATGATAATATAGGAGGAAAAATAATACTGGATCAGACAAAGTGATGATGCTCTAGAAATTTGCATGAACTTTTCCTTGATTATTTTGGAACTACAAAGCAAGGAACTAGAAATGTTTTTTTTACACTCTCAACATGGATGGAACCTTTTTTTTTAATCATTTTGCTTAAAACATATTTTAGATCAACTTCAGTTTCCTTTTTCCAAAAGTCTTCCTCCTGGATGATCACATGACCAACATTTTGAAATGGTGCACCATGGGAAAGTCACAAAATGGACCAATCACCTCACAGTTTGAAGCCAATCCGTCGCCTGATTGGCTGGTTAACATTTTGAAATGGTGGCATGGGAAAGTCACAAAATGGACCAATCACCTCACAGTTCAAAACCAATCTGTCGCCTAATTGGCTGGATAAGTCCTGTACATCAAGGAACAGCTAAAGAGTCGGCCATCTTGGGATGACCTTGAGATGACCTACTGAGCGTCTTCCTCAGAGGACGCCGACTCCTTGGGCTCTTCCTCAGACTCCTTAGCTGTTTCTTCTTCCGACGACACAAACTCCTTGGGTTCGTCTTCTGTCTTGGCGTCTTTCTTGGCAGCCTTCTTGGGTCTCCCCCTGCCCCTCTTCCCCTTCCCCCTTCCTCTGCCTGCTGCCTTGGGTTTCGGCTTCTTCACGGGACGACCTTTGGGGCGACCTCGGGCCTTCTTGACCTTCACCTCGGTCGGCTTTTGCACTTTGGCCTTTGACCCTCTGTGGAATGCAGATCTGGGCGATAATGATTTAAAAAATGTTATAAAACTAGAAAGGCCAATATTTGCTTTGGAGCAAATACAGCGATGGCTTCACCACATTTTACGACATGACATACGAAATACCTACCAAAACACTTGAATACAGACATACTGTCAGTATGGAAATGCTCTGTGCAGGTGTTAATCAAGTTAAATCCCAACAGCCAATCAGCAAGAAATGCTCTGTGCAGGTGGAAATGCTCTGTGCAGGTGTTAATCAAGTTAAATCCCAACAGCCAATCAGCAAGAAGAATAGAGGAAAGCTGCATGCCTATTGGTTGATGCCCTGCATTCCATTGTGATGACTCATGCCCAAACGTGGTACACTAACACAGTAATACATTTGCTATAACACAGCCAAAAAACTCAAATAAAACCATTATAAAATCCTGTATCACAAAAATTTAAAAAACGCCTGGGGGTATTTGCCCACTGTACCTCCATACCAAATTTCAGGACCTTAGGCCCTAAAATGAAGAAGCTGAATCCATTTAAAAAATGGCAGGAGAAGAAGGAGAAGGAGAAGGAGAAGAAACACCAGAAAAAGCAATATGGTTTCACCACACCCACTTCGTGGTGTGGTGAACCCATAAATAGTCAATTTTGGGGGGCAGACAAAAATATACTAGTAGTTTATTTCAGGTTAAACTTTTTATTTGAGCCATTTATATTTTTCCCCAAGCTTTGGTCCATTTTGTCTGTCATGTTTGACGAATTGGCTTAAAAATCTGACACGCCACAAAGTTCAGAATGAATAGTAGAAATTGGGCTACAACATGCAAAATGGAGCTTATTTGGCCGGCCGACTCTGGCCAATTATATCCCCTTTTTAGGCCAATTTGTACTATTTATTCAGCCTTTAAAAGGAGTCTGGTAGAGACTAACAAAGTTCCTGCAATGGGTGTAAGGACAGAGAGAAGTGGCGGGCTGAACATCAAGCCCCAGTTGTACTGTGCAAGCACGTCTAACTGGGGAACAACAGACGATAAACCGGACAGTGATTGAGTGGTGTTGGCTAGAGCCCTGGAGTGTACTTAAATCCTGCTGAGAGCTTACCTGAGGAGAACCTCCATGGGTGGAACGTACTCAATCAGCTCCAGGTCCTCTGGTGAGGGAATAAACGGCTCTGTCATCTGGTACGTACCTGCAAATATAAGAAACATTTTAATTGAATCCCTGCCCCACAATTAGCATAGGGTGTTACAAAGCACAATTAGCATAGGTGCATAGGGTGACATTTCTGTAGCCCTGGGCAACAAAACTTTATGGCTCTGTCATCTGCACATACCTGCAAATAGAGGAAATAAGTACCTACAGATGGGTACATCCCTTGGATAGGATTACATGTCAGTCACACACACACACACACACACACAACACACTCAAACACACACAACACACACATGCACTCACACAAACACCACACACACTCAGTCACACACACACACACACACACACACACAGCTAAATGGACAGTCAAGCCTATAACAATACTGTAGAAGAACGTCTGACCAGAGGCCCCCTTCCCGGTGATCTGTTCCAGTTCTCCATTCTTGACTCCCTTTTCCAGCGCTCTCTTCAGAAGGAACATTCGGTTCTCGATGTCCAGTGTCGGGTAGTGTTCTCGGATGTATTTCTTGATCATGCCAACCTGGGAGAGAAAAGCGGAACATCCTATTAATGGATTTTGCAAAGAATAAATAAATGAATAAACTTTATTGCTCAACAATCACATAGTTGTACAACTTGTGGCAGTAAGACAACAATACCACAAAACTGAACTATCTTAAAATTACCACTATCGATAACAATATATGTGCTACAATACGGTCATGTATTGATGGTTTGGTCTTACTTGTGGAATGAGGTATACAGAAATTGACCTTTGTAGGCAGATAATATGGGAATTGGATACAACAACAATATAAGGAAAGATGACTGATTGCACAATTGTGTGGCCCAAGGCCTAAGAAACGGAGATGGGCACTGCTAATGGTTTTAATGCCAGAGGGCTTTAACTTTCACTTTATCTCACCGAAGCCTCTTTCGGCTCGTTGACTGCCTTGATAGCCACCCCGATCATAGTCTCCATCGGCTTCTTCGGTTTGTAGCTCTCCACCAATCGGAACGTCCCGCTCATGCCCTTTCCTAAAACAAGACAGAAGAATGGTTGGAAGAGTCTACTTATACATAAAACATTTGACATACCTGAGATACAAATGTAACGTATTACTCTCTTTCAGGAAACAAAATGATCAAAGATGAGAATTGCCAGTTAGAATTTAAAAAAAGTTAAAATTGTCTAGCAATTTCATGCAACCAAATAAACAAGACGATTGGGGACAAAAGAACTGTGCTGCCCCCTTTCAGGAACAGTTGGTATTGCAGTGCAGGCTATATTTGTTATGACCTACTTTACCCCAGCCGATATGCATGCACACACACAGACACAAACACACACACACACACACAAACACACACACACACTTGCACGCACATACTCTCACACACACACACACTCTCACACAAGCACACACACGCACATACCCACACACACCCACACACGCACACACACACACACGATACACACACACGATACACACACACTGACACACACACACAAACATACACACACACACAGACACACACAAACACACACACACACACACACACAGACACACACACACACACAGACACACACACACTCGCGCGCACACACACACAAACAAACACACAAACATTACCAGACATCTGTAGTAGCTGCCCGTTCTCCACTCCCTTCTGCAGAGCTCTCTTCAGCAGAAAACTGCGAGTCTCGATCTCCAGGTGTGGGTAATGCTCATTCAGGTACTTCTTTATAGCCTGGGGAGAAGCCTCCTTAGGCTCACAGTGTTCCACCTGGAAGGCAAAGAGTTCAAAGTGGCAGTTGTACAACTTGTAGATTATGTAGCCTCTATCAGACTTTGGAAGTGGTTGGAAAGAGTAGAAATTGGCCAAACAGAAACTCAGGTAACATGCCAGGGGAGCTGGTCTGCTAACAGAGTAGTTTGGGTGTGGCACATGTGCTCCTTTAGTGGACCAACTCAAATATGTTAACTGAGCGTCTAGTTGGCCGATTTCTACTCTTTACAACCACTTCTGGAGCCTTGAAGAGGCTAATTGTAGAAAGGATGATGAAGGCACCTGATAGACATTGAAACAATTAGTAGATGAAAGACATCACTGTTTGTAAAAAAGAAAGATCCAATATGACTACTTACTATTTCTTGTTATTTTCTAAGATATGATGAAAACATGGAATATTTAGAAATTGTCTTCACTTATTTTCACTTATGGTACTTATAAACCTGGATTTCTCCTCTGGTCTCTCAGTCACTGACGAAAGGTAGTGGATACTAGCTGAAACATCTGACCGTTTCCAAAATCATATCCAGTTGCCTGGGTAACTGTTTTTTTTTACTGCATGGAACAATTAACTGTCCTGTTACCATGGCATCTCTGATGATGATCTCCATCTTAGGAGGTTCTGGAAGAGCCATTTTCTTGGCAGCCACCGTCTTCTTAGGACTCTTAGGGGCCTCCTCCCTCTCTCTGGAGAGGTGCATCAAAGATTCTTATTAAAAATGTTGCTGCACAGCATTGCAATGTATAAAGAGTTATATAATAGACAGAGTCAACATGAATTTTAAAATATCTTATGTGTATGTGTATCCTTTTGGCACAGACAACTTTTAATCTATACATACTCTCTCTCTTGGCTTGCTTCGTTATACACTCTTAGACTAATACACTTGAAAAAGCCCACAGGCAAAACCGGTCATGACATGCTGACCAAAAGTTCTAAACGTAAACTATATATGTGGCTCCAGATGTCTTATTGAGGGACGACTGTGGTGTGTTAGATGTCGGTTATATTAGATTGAGGAATGAATCAACTACACTTTACACCAACAAGATACGTAATTACTTATCATCAAAATTTCAGATGATGGCAGCTAAATACCAAGAGGCTAACAAGGAAAGTTTGTATGAAACTTGCTTGGGCTTCCGTTTGGGTCCTATCCACTTGAAGGTGCCCGATGCACCAGTGCCCGACAGTTGCTTCACCAGGTCTTTCTTCTGTGCCCGGACTAGTGCCTGTTTGACCAGGTGCTTCTTAGTGTCTGGGTAGTTTTCTGCCAGGTACTTTTTGATAGCCTGGGCGGAAGCTCCTTTGGAACCTGAAATTAAGAAGGCAGTCAGAGATGGCAGGCTTCACCCCCTCCTTACAGTTTGGCCAGATAGATAGATAGGTATATGGTTACCAGCCTCTCCAGCTCTGCCCTGCTATAAAATGTAATCCAACACCACATGCTGTCTGCTACAGCACCAGTTACCATGGTGACAGACGTCTGGTCCAGGTCATTGACTTTACTTGTTTGGAGAAGAAGAAGAAGAGGAAAAAACACAGCAAGAACAATATGTTTTCCTTCTGCAAAGGTAAAAAGAAGTCCAACCTCCAACCACAAGTTACCATGGTGACAGACCTCTGGTCCAAGACTTTTCTTGTTTGGAGAAAAAGAAGAGGAAGAAACAGAGCAAAACAATTGAATGTCTGGGAAGGTAAACATAAAAAAGGAAATAAATCTGACCTCCAACCATCACGATAGCTTCCTCCACCAGATCGATGGTTGTCGGTTTCTCGTCCTGATCGCGGTGGAACGCGGCAGCCGGGGGCGGTTTCTTCACCTTCTTCACGACGGCCCGGTGAGAACTGACGACCTTCCTCGCCGCGACTTTGGCAGCGTCCTGCTGCCGCTTGGTCAAGGTGACCTTCTCTTTTCCACCAACCAGCCTGAAGGATACATGCAACATACAGCCTGACATCAAGCTCAGAATGAAAGCATAACTCAACACTAGTTGCCATGGTGACAGACATCTGGTTTAGGTCATTGACCTTCTTTGTTACTATTAGTAGGAGGAGAAGAAGAGAAAGAAGAAATATATCTAGCAAAACCGATATGTTTCCTTTGGTAAACATAATGATAGTTCCATACTTGTAGAACCCAGTTTGGAGAGGAAGAAGAAACTGAGCAAAAACAATTCCTTTTCCTACATATTAAAGAGGGCCTGCAAGGGGGGGTAGTGATTACGAATTACGCAAAATTTTCGCCGCCTATTACGAATTACGTTAAAGTCTCAGAGCTGGTTACGACTTTACGATTTGCGGGTAATGTCCAATTACGAATTACGTTGATTTTTGAGGAGGCTGCCTACGAATTACGAAGTCTAAAACGGCCGGATTACGCCTTACGAAAAAGGGCTTGCAGGCCCTCATTAAATACGGAAGATAAAGATAGTTTCTAGTTGTAGAACCCGGTAAACCCTGTTCCCGACATCTGCTTGAGTTGACCCTTGGACACACCCCTCTTCACCAAACACTAGTTACCATGGTGACAGATGTCTGGGTCAGGTCATTGACCTTATTTGTTTGGAGAAGAAGAAGAAACTGAGCAAAAACAATGTGCTTTCCTTCTGTGAAGTATGCAGAGGGGCCATGCCCCTTGGAAGGGCATGCAGAGCTGAGTGAGTGAGTAAGTGAGTGAGTGAGTGAGTGAGTGAGTGAAGGTAAGCATAACGATAGTTCCATACTTGTAGAACCCAGTGAATCCGGTTCCTGACATCTGCTTGAGTTGACCTTTAGACACGCCCCTCTTGACGGCCTGCTTTAGCAGGTACGTCCGGTTCTCGATGTCCAGGTGAGGGTAGTGTGCCGCGATGTACTTCTTTATGGCGATGGTCGAGGCACCCTTTGGCCCCCCCGTGGTCATAATGGCCTCTTCCAGCACCTCATCCATACGCACTGATGAGGAGTTGGTCTTCTTGGTCGGCATGGTAACGGACTAGTTGGACTGGACGTCGGAAAATAAGAAATGAGGGATTAATGACTTCCTTAGCCTGGTTACCAAACCTATTATACTTCAAGTATATAGCTCCCAAGTCCTGAGAGGCCGTAGGATTATCCTCTACGTATACCAGGCTTCGGGAGTAGAGGATAATCCTGCAAAAGAGTAGAAATCGCGCAAATAGAGAGAGATAACATGCCAGGGCCTGAGTTTGTCTGCTGGGAGAGAACATTTTGCCACACGTGCGATTTCTACTTTCCAGCTGCCTCCTGAAGCCTGGTAGAGGCTACTGTAGGACTCGGGAGCTGTAACCAGGCTATGTCTTCCTGGAGGTATTTTGAGTTTTTGTGACCCCATTTCCTGTGTCTGACCTTTAGACCTGTTGTCATGCTGCTTGTCAATCTTTCCCACCCATGTGCTGTCAACTTACTCTGTCTGGAGTCTGGACAGACGGACACACAAACCCACAGCCCCCCCCCCCACACACATAATATTATTATGTGCACATGCAGATACAATATTATTATGTACGCAGCACTCCAAAAGAATACTTCATTGAAAGATAATTGTCAATACGGATAAAAGATGGGATTTATTTATAATTCATTTATTAATAGATTTCTAAGAAAATTTTCTTATTTCAATTTTACTATATTACACCTCCATCAATCAGTGATTATACGCATATCAAAATCAAGATTTGAGAACCGGAAATACTCATTGTTTACTCTGTGATTTTTGATTGACAGAGCATGGAGGTAAAAAGTCTCTTTTTACCTCCATGGACAGAGCAAGCCTCAGATTTTTATGCAAATTAGTTCCAGTCTAGAAGAGAGATCGCCAACCTATATAGTTTGCAAACGGAGAAGAAAATACGGCATCTTTCAATGAATAACAGCTAAAAATTATCACCAAAGCTACAAGATTTCAACCCAGAAGATAACTGCACGTTCAATAAAATGCAAACCTTGCGATCTTATTTTGTCCCAATCTGTTGTTTATCATGTGTGCTGTGGAATAATAAATGGCTTCGATTCCAGCTTAAAAAAACGCCTTTTTAATTGTAAATATAGAATAAAATGCACGGAATATAGTTCTTACGTGTTCTTACTAACCTTTCGTTCCAGGAGATCTGGATTCTGAAGACGCTAGGAATTGCAAAAAAGCAAAATAACAAACAAACCTCGTGTTTTCAAAGGGGAGGTACAGCTCCGACGCTACTGATGACCTTTAACCCTAAACAGACAAGTCGAAAATATATACAGAGGTACATAATTTAAAAAATTTATCCTTCAACACAAAAAATAGTCACTACATCTCTTGTTTCTTCACATATATACAATACATTAAGTTAATGGCGATTTTTAAAATGTTTAGTAAGATATTGAGGTGGTTTCGTCTAAATGGAATCGTTTATTGTTATGAGTAATTACCAGACACCCCCGTAATGTGGACTAACCCAAAAGGGACATTTAATGTTGTTCGGCATTCTCCGGAGAAGTTCGTTAATTTCCGTGGCAGCTGTCGGCAAAGTTCGGGAGCCTTCGGGCGATTCCGGTGAAAATTGTCCAACATGGCGGACCATCGAGATTCTCAAGTCGAGTTGACCTCAGCTCAGACCGAAAAACTGCTTCAATTTCAGGTAAAATTTCACTTTTCTGTGCTTCAAACGTACACCGAAACATCGTGCACACCCTAGTGGTTGCTACAAACTAAAAAACGGTGCTAAACTGACAGAAAAATAGCGAAATATTTGGATATTTTGTGACGATGTGTCGAGCTCGAATGAAAGAGGAAGTATGAGTCGGCTGTATTTTCCCAGTATAATGATGCAATTAAAACGACCCAACGCAAATAATATTCCCCTTATACATAGTAATTTCTGTACTATCTCATACACAGCTTAAATATTTCCCTCAGTGTTTTCTAGATGTCTCTACTGGTCAGAATTATGGTACTATAGAATTACCATTGTTGTAAACACTAAGATAATTAATATATATACATCCATCATAATGTAATGATTGCACAATACACGTCATAAGTTGTAATACAAAAGCGGCATTATGCAATTTCAAAGATGTATTATATATAGATATATATGTTAATAAAAGCATCTTATTGAATATTGATAGAATGCCCTTGCTATATATTAACTGCGTCAAGAAGCGAGAAGAAGCTGAACCTGTAAATAGTAGATCACATTAGTTTATATAGTATGTAAGTGTCATTACTGTTTTCTTTTCCCTGTTTACCCATGACCTGTACTTAGCTCGTTAGAGCACAAGCGTACAATAAAGGTCTTTCATTCATTCATTAATAGCCCATAAATTAATATTAATATGTGCAATAATATTAATTTGAATGCAACATGTGTAGTCTATCGTAAATATGATTCTACAAACAGCATATGCAGCTTAACTTATATTTTATATTTGAACTTAAGTGAAACATTCTTGGTAATTTTGGAGTCAGATTTTGCTTGCAGATAATAGCAGAGGTACACATCTGAAAATTAATGGGGATAGTTGGTTTAAACTTGAATAAATAAATATCATTATTTAGTATTTTCAGGGTGTGGTGCAAGATACATGGGATGTACAACATTTGTTATTATCCATTGCGATAATTGATTTGTTCGGAAATAGCGAGTTGCAATATATACTAGTAGGGTCGGAGCACAGGGGCATGTCCGAACATGCGCACCGACGTTGCGCCCCCCCCTCAATTAGAGGGACAAGTCTCCAACGGCAGTTGTCTTCAGCTGGCGGACGAGAGCAGCGCCAGGCGGGCTGGCGTAGTCAAGGCGGACCTTGAGCGTAACCAAGTCATCCGGCAGCTCGCTGCAAGCATCCCAACCGGAACCAGCACGTCTCCCTCGATATGGATCCGCTGGGGAAGACGGGTGCCCAAGTGTGTGGGTCTCAGATTCGCGACCTGTTATCCACCTTAAACAAATCTACGCAAAGGCCACCGTGTCAACCCTCCTCACTCAGGTGTAGGGACTGACACGGTCATCCTACTCAGAAAATCTGTATCTGTACATGAATCTGTATCCAATTGCAAATAAAGATCACGAGTGATTGCCAGAGAGAGAGTTGTCCTTTCTTATTACTGCTGTCCAGTAGACTCTGTAGACTGTAGAGACTCAGGATTGAAGTTATTAAAACCAGCCCTGTAATTATCCCCAGTGTCACTGTATGCTAATGCCTGTAATGGCCTTTGGCAATGACGCAACACTTGCAGCACTTTAGAGATACCCGGTGGTTTAGAATGGTATAGCTACTAGTACAGTAGTAGGCTGGACTTCATAAGTTTTATTTCCTTTTCTACAGGACCTGACAGGGATCAATGACCTGGAGAAGTGCAGACAGGTGCTGGACAGACATGGATGGAACATGGAGGTTAGTAAGAATTCGTAGTTGCTATGTAACACTGGGGTTCAAGCGCCGCTAACTGATCCATTCCAACATGTCTTTTAGCGCGCTGGTGTCAAATAGTTAAACATAGAGATAATAAATGATATGAATGAAGAATACAAGTAATCAATCATATGAAACAAGACATGTCAACCAAAACAAATTGTCAAAATCATAAGGCATATTCTTATTAGTCTCACAACCCAACATTCTTAGTCCATGTCATTCCAGTCAAATGATAAAGTATATCTGTCTTGAATAGATTAATTTTCTTTTACACAACCAAGATACATGTACATTTGTAGTTACTTTGCTGACGTTTCAGTGTCTATCACTCAGTATCAGAGTCTTTCAGACACCTTCCTCAGAGCTTCTGACTGGAGTTCTGCTTCTCAACGTTATATATACTAGTAGATATTATATGTATCTTTGACTTGCATTCCAGGCTGCTGTCCACGACACGTTTAACGAGAATGAGGGCCAGCCGCCGGTGTTTGAGCAGCCCGTGGCCCGAGCAGCACCCCCTAGGATGCCCATGATGAACATCAGCCCAACATACCAGAGGTTTGTAACATGTAACAATAACTAACATGGATAACTGTGTCTTATCCAGAACTGTGCCTTATTTATAATCAGAACCATGCTCTGGATAGTGCATGCATATCCAGAACTGTCCTGTATCCAGAACCATGCTCAAGCGCAATGCTTTATCCAGAACCATGCTCATCCAGGACCATGGCTGGGGCAAATTCACGTTCTTGGATACGCGGAGACTATTCAGAACCGTGCCTGATCCTAACCCCAACCCATTCAGGCATAGAACTAGATAGACACAGTTCTGGATACAATAGCATGCTGTCTTTATTCATCTAAAACAAACATGTTATGCAAAATTAATTTTTGGTGTAATGTACTGTTCCCTTGTCTCTCTGTAGGGTCTACACAGTTGCACGAAGGAGACCTCAGGGCTGGCTGGCGTGGGGTTACTTCCTGTTGATGCTACCCTTCCGCTTCACATATACAACCATAAGGGATATCTTTATGTGGGCATGTAAGTACTACAATCCTGATCACATGTACCATATTTCTTATTTAAAAAAAAGTGTGATAAATGAAAAATGTTATTAGCATTCTTTATAATTTGTAATTTGACCAAACCTTTTCAAATGCAGCTGATTTCTTCCGAAAAAAGAGTTATAAACCAATTATATGTTTATATTAAGATTAAAGCAAGTACAATGTATATAAATGAAGTGCCTTGTTGCAATTCCTAATTTGCTGTTGATTCTTGTCTTTACAGATAGACTATTTATTCCAGATCCAAGAAGAAGTAAGTTACATTTACTCCTAATACCTTACTCTCAATATGAATGAAAACACTTTCAACAACTTTAAAGCAGTGCTTACATGTATATAGTCACTAAGCTGTTGATTTCTGTAGCTCATGTGTGTCAAAGACATATAATAATAATTGTATCCTCCTCAGTTGTTCGGGACCCCTTGGGTGATGTGGAGTCCTTCATTGCCAAGTTCCAGAGCCTGTATGGGGAGAACCACCCTGTCTTTTACCGTGGGTCATACAGCCAGGTTTGTATTCATAAATATATACTAGTATACAACTTAAAAGGTGTTTTTTCAATTCTTGAAGAAACTATGTTGTTTTGGCGTGGTGACTCATATGATTGGCAAAAGAAAAGGATAAAAGGAAAAAAAAGTACTTTTTAATGGTCCTGATATGAAAACTGTATTATTGATTTTTGCTTATAATTTTAGGGAGTTGTAAGTGCTGTGTTGATTTAGTACAGTTTTTCACAGAGATGTAAAACAAGGTCGTAACACAAGAGGATGCATTATGCTACAGAACTGTTAATAAACATTTGACATTAATTATCACAGAACATGTCCTCAGCCTTAACCTCAAGCTATGCACAGTTACTTGAAGCCCTCACATAGTTGTGGTGTAATGTCCTAGGCCTAGAAAAAGAAATGGTGTGTTTCCTGTTTCCTTACCGACCCTAGTTTTAATGTGCTACAGAACTTAGTGTCCAGTGTAGTGATGTTTGTATATATTTTTAACATCCACAGGCCCTGAACGATGCTAAGAAGGAGATCCGTTTCCTGGTGGTGTTCCTGCATGGGGAGAACGACGACCAATCAGCCGAGTTCTCCAGGTCAGAGGTCAAAGGCTATGTCAAGGGTCAACACTAAACATGACTGCAGCAGGGGGTCTGATATTCTTCCCCAAAAATGTTGTAACTCATAACCCCCTGACACACTATTTCCTGCTTATTGGTGGACAGATTTTGTTTTCCTTTTGTCAAAGCATCATTCTAAAGTTATATTTTAATTTTTTAAAAGATTTATGAAGCACTGTAGACAGGTTTAATTTACCCGACTTCCCGTTTCTCTGTTCCAGAACTTCTCTGTGTGCTCCTGAAGTCATCGACTTCCTCGGTGCTAGGTCCCTTTTCTGGGCATGCTCAGTAGAGTTTCCTGAGGGGTACAGAGGTAAGAAACTCAACAATCTTTTAAAAAACAATCCCTAAGTCTCTGGTCCAAGGGGTCATGAGTTCTAGTCCCAGCTTTGTTCACCTGACATGTGTGCTACTGGAACAGGTTGCAGTCATTAGGATGGGTGTTAAGCTATTGTCCAATGTTCATGGTACATGTACATGTCAAAAAGAGCACCTTGTAGTACGCATGGAGACTGGTTGTGGTGACAATTTCATTCTTACACCTAACAGTTTCTCAGGTCCAGAGTCCTCCTGCCCAGAAGCTACCGTTTGTGAGCCTGATCTACCAGAAAACAAGAAGGCAGTTTTGGGCGAGATATTTCAATTCTTTAATTCTTTCCTTCTTTACATTAACAACATCTGGTAATTTGCATCCTTGTTCCCCACAGTGTCCCAGGCTCTTCGTCCCAGAAGCTATCCCTTTGTGAGCCTGATCTGCCTGAGAGAACACAAGATGACGGTGGTAGCCAGACTAGAAGGTGTGGTGCCTGCAGACGAGCTGATTGCCAGGCTAATGCACGTTATGGAGGAGAATGAACCGGCACTGGCCCAGGTTAGGGCAGACAGGTAAGGCAGAAATCTACAAGCATGGTATGTAAGACTGTAAAGTTTGATCCACATACATGTAGGGAAGGCTAAGGTTAGGGCTGACAGGTAAGGCAGGAGGCTTTCGAGTCACTATCTCAGCTCAACTGCCCTTAATGCCAGTCCTGGCATGTAGGACAGCAACAAAGGTTCTCCAGTTCCGTCTGTCCTGGGCTACTCTCTGGATGCTGTCCCATTTTAGTGTGGCCAAAGCTCTTCAGTTCTTTCACAACTGCTCTATGCGAAGTGATCTTAAGCTGTCGTTGTTTTCTCTTCCCTACATGTGTCAAATGTAGTGTGCGGTTCTTGTTAAGTTGTTCTACAAGATTTGTATGCAAGACATGCACAAGACTGTAAAGTTTGATCTACATACATTTAGCGAAGGCTAAGGTTGGGGCTAACAGGTAAGACTGGTAAGCATGGTACTATGTAACTAATAATGTAAGACATGCACAAGACTGTAAGGTAAGGCAGAAGGTTCACTTACTCACTTTAGGTTTCTTGTCTACTGAGGGTAGAGAGTGCTTGCTTTACATTTTGATGTTGATGCTAAGGCAGCCAGTCATTTGCCTCAATCCTGTGTATTTACACTGAAGGTTGATTTTTTTTCTCCGTGTATTTTTGTAGAGAGGAGAGAAACTTCACCCAGACACTAAGAGCACAGCAGGACATGGCTTATCTGGAGTCTTTACGGGCAGACCAGGAAAAGGTCAGTCTTCATGTAGTTAAAGTGGTCAAGCTTTGTTCCAACACAAGAAGGGAACTTACCATAAAGTTTGGGTCGATCTCATCAACCTTCGTCAGATGTGTGATGCACTCGAAGAAGTCAGAAATGTGATGACGTCAGGAGTGCATCAAAAGTGGCGGGAATAATTACAGTCGAATATCATGTCTTTTGTTTTATTTCAAATTGTTGAATTTGTAATGTGGTCCATGTACAAGTCTTTTTTTTTCACCTGCAGGAAAGAAAGAAACAGGAGGAGAGAGAAAGAAAGGAGAGGGAAGAGCAGGAGGCCAGAGAACAGGAGGAGGCTGTGCAGAGAAGGAAAGAGGTCAGAAAACAGTGAAGGTGTCCACAGGCTATGTCAAGAGTTCAAAGTGTGTGTGTGTGTGTGTGTGTGAGTGAGTCAAAACTGAACAAGATGACAAGACAGGGGTCTGATAGAAGTGGACAGGTCAGCATTCTTAATGCTTGTGTCTGAGGAGAAAAAACAGCAAAAAGTTCACTTTTCACCACCATCTGAGGATAACTCAGCTTTACCTTTCACTGATCTCCAGGAGCTGGCACGACTACGGATAGAAAAAGCGTCCACAATTCCAGATGAGCCTGAAGACGACAATCCTGAAGCCACGAAGATCATCCTAAAACTCCCGAACGGAACCAGACTGGAGCGGCGATTTCTCATGTCTCACTCACTAGAGGTGAGGCATTGTGTTTGTGTGTGTGCGTGTGTGTGTGCATGTGTATGTGTGTGTGTGCGCATACGTGTATGTGTGTGTACGTGTGTATGTCTGTACATGTACGTGTGTGTGTGTGCATTTGTGTTTGTGTGTACATATGTGTGTCTGTGCATATGTGCACAGGTGTCTGCATGCATGCATTGCATGTGTGTGTGTGTGTGTACACGTGAGCGTGTTTGTGTGTGTGTACCCATTTGTGTATGTGTCTGCGCGCGCGCATTTGCGCTCTTGTGTACTTGTGTTTCACAATGTAGCATTGTCGTTGCCATACACCCTCAGCGATTTTTCGTTTGCATGTGTCTGTGATACTGGTTGGTCTTTCAAACAATAGGTTAGTGCTAAAGAGTAAAGCCTGCCATCTCTGAAAGCCCTGTAACCTTACGCAAAAAGTAGTTACTCAAGCAACTGGATATGATTTTGAATTTACCCAGTTGCTTGAGTAACTACTTTTTTGGCGTATCGTATTACCTAGATGTCTAACCTTCATCAACGTACCCTGTAACCTTGTTTCCGTTGTCCCTTGCAGGACGTATATCACTTTGCATTCTGTCACAAAGAGGCACCAGATGAGTTCCAAATAGTCACGAACTTTCCGCGGAGAGTTCTGCCATGCCAGAGCACAGCCGACTCCCCGAACGTACTAACGATAAAGGAGGCAGGTCTAGGCAAATCTGAGGTCCTATTTGTACAAGATATAAGTGACTAGGGTGAGTATATGTACTAGGCAAAACACAGGAGACATCCCGTGTAGAAAAAAAATTCAGTTGTACTTTAATGATGAATCTCCAAGTAGATCTTCCACTGCCAAATTCAAAACCCTTGTCCTGCGGAGCTCATATTATTATTATACATAGGGTGAGTACATGTACTAGGCAAAACGTACTCTCCAAGCAGAGGTTTGGGTTTGGGCTTATTTTGGCGTGTTTTTAGGCATTTTTATCGGGGTTTAATTTTTGCACCAGAAATTTTTTTAACCAATCCCCCAAAAAATCCCAGTGCGAAAGAGAAACCCTGAAAACAAGTGCTTCTGCAAAAGCTGACCATTTTCGCCGCTTACAGGCTTACAGTTTTTACGAACATTTTCCCCATCCTAGCATTTCAATTTACCTAAGTTATATAAATGGTTCTAGTTCTCATAAACATTGTATATAATGAGAGAACATGCACTTCTATATTTCAACTCTTTAAGTTTAAAACATTACAAAAATCAAGTATATAACAGTTTATAACCTGTTTTCTCTCTTTTAAGAGTCTTTTTAACAGAATAAAAAAATGAGACACAAAAGTACATTTTAACTTAAATTATAAGTAACGTTAATATATATATATATATAATTTTATTCTAAAATCTCTTCTATGGCTTTGTCCCAACATCTAAGTTTACAAACCTCGTGACATTCAACCAGGGCTTTAGCCAGCGCCCGTTTTACCGTCAATAGACGGTATTTTTTCCCGTCGGACGGTAAAAATTTAAGTCCTTACCGTCAACATTGACGGTCAAAAATCGTGGGTGAAGACATTAAACTTAGCAAAAAATGTAGCGAATTTGAATGAGCCACGGCGCGGGGTCTTTCCAAAGCGCGTCGCGTCTTTTCAAAAACGCCGCGGGCCCACACATTTCTTATTTAAATACGGCGGGAAACCTGACTTCAAGGAACGTGCCGATGTCTGTTAACTCGGTTCTTTTCTTCAATGTTGCTGTCTGTTTAAACAACATGTGCTAACGGCCACATAAGAACAATGGCTCGACTCAGACTCACGCTGGTAACTGTACATGACAATAAGATAAATAAACAACATGTGGCAACGAACAAAGAAATATCAAACGTTTTGAAAATATACTGTACTTGAATTTTCATACCATCGCAAGAAAACGGAGATCGATCTACGCAAAGTGGCTTTATTATTTATATAAACTTCGTTAAACCACCTTAGAAGACTTGAGCGGCAGCATAAAGATAAATTTTCTGGAGCCGATCGCTGAAGCAAGTTTTTGCCGGCGTACGTAACTCCCTCCGCGGCAAAATCCCATATGCCGTAGCGAAATCGCGTCTCAGCACTTCCCCAAATCAACTCCATGGCCGCTAAAGTCTGCAAATGAGGTTAAACTTCCTCATTTCGGTTGAGAAGCGAAGCTACTAGTATAAAATCATGTGCATGGCGGCCATTTTGTTTGCTACCCGAAGTCTTCCGAATGAACTAAATAAGGAAATCGTCGGAAATCTGAGCCACATCCCTCGCTGTCGGCATGCGCTCGGGGCTGGCTCGGTGGAAATCGGAGGCTGTGGCGTCAGGACTAGGTTTATTTGCATGGCTCGGGAAGCCGCCGCGGCTTGAATCGCAGCGGGATTTGGGCGCCGGGCGGGTCAAACAAAGGGAATATGAAGTTGTGAGGACCATAGTTTTTTTTCATTCTTCAAATTGCAGATGTGTAATTTTTATCCTGAAATCTTGAAAATCTATCTGCAAATTGCAGACTGAAGACGGGTATTTAGAACACTGAATACATGAAGTGTGCGGGGGGGCATGATGTCGATCACCGGATCATGATTTTTTTTCGCGTTGACCCTGATTCAACCCTAAAATAATACTCGAAGAGAACTTCAAAAGTCATCTTTTACTAATCATATATAATTGTTTACATTATATCATCTGATCAACCTGATCCATTAAAAATTGTCAATGGAAAATACCTTGCCAAACAATGCAATGCCTATTTAAGTTAATTAAACACTCACTCATTAATTAATTAATTTCCTAACATACAAAAGACATGTTGGTGAAAGTTAGGCACCCAGGTAATATCAATAGTTCCACGGACAGCTATGTAGGCCGGAGCTTCTATTGCGTGCGATCTACGTTTGGTCAAAAAATCCCCCCCCCCCCACCACACACACACACACAAAAACACCGATCCGGGAACGCCTGAAAAGGAGGCTTTTAATAAGCTTTGCCTGCAGCGCCTTGATTGGTCGGACGTGTGACCCTCTGGACTGCCGGCTAATGGAAATCTGAACATCTAGACTAATCCACACTGCTAATGCTCATTGACATAATTTATGCAGTTTATTAAAATCCTTGATTACTGTGATTATAGACATGTCTTTATCAACATTTTTGGCAAATAATAAAATCAAGTTATTGTTCAAGACAAATTAAGTTTGTTTTGTCAGCAGCTTTGTTATGCAACATTAATAGAACTATGATTTTGAAATTAGCAACCATAATGGAAAGTATACAAACGTCCAAGGCATAAATGGTAAAAAGTGCACTCGCAACAACGACATCTAGCGACATGCGGCAACTCAGCATGTCTGCATGGCCGTCGCAACAACGACATCTAGCGACATGCGGTGACTTAGCATGTCTGCATGGCCGTTGAAGGGTGGTACCGTTGATCCATCCATCCATCCAATCTCAATCTCGTCTGAGTTACCATTTTCGCGCATGCGAAAATGGTAAAAAAGCCTAAAAACACGCCAAAACTAAACCAGAACCCAAACCTCTGCTGGGAGAGTAGGCAAAACATAGGAGAGATCCTGCGAAGTAAAAAACAATTCAGTTGTACTTTAACGATAAATTTCCAAGTAGATCTGCCATTAGCAAATTTCAATCTTAAAACCCTTGTCCTGCAAAGCCCATATATATATATATGTATATGTGGGTTGCACAAGTCATACAGTACCATTTTTATATAGTACACTGTATTATATACAATTTGGGGGTGTTGCTTGTTCAACACGTCACACTGCAGCAAAACCCAACAAAGATTAATGCGGAAGTAACTATGCCACCGCATGGCAAAAAAAAGTCGAGGGTCTACATGTATGACTAGGTTAAGACAAATTATTTGAAAATATTGTGTAAAAAAAGCCAGCAGGACAAGGGTCTGAATGCTAAGGTAGCCATTTAGCACCACATTTATGTTGGTTATAAGGGGTTAGATACACGTAGAGGGTTAAAACTTTTGCCATTGGAAGATCTGCTTGGAGATTACATAAAGATGTTTGTTACAACATTAACCAGCACTAGAGAAAAAAAATAGAAGAAAAACATTATTAATAGCTTTGCACATACTTTTGTTTGGATAAAACAGTACCCCAAAACTGAAAATGACACATTTTGGGAATCACCCTAAACAAAACTAGCGCACTGTGACTATGAACTTGCTTTACAGTACATGAAACTATAACAAAACAAAACCAAAAAGATATCCTGCATACTTTCACATGTACATTGTAACTTTCAAAAAGCACATGACAAGGATATGCAATTCAGATTGTTGCCGTTTGTTACTCATTCTTTGTTCTTGTTGTTTCTTGTAATGGAGATACACGAGTGATTTGTTTCTTCTTCCTGGCTTATTTTTACTCATGTCTCTATTGAACATATACAAGAAATTCTAACAATTTTTGTGCTATTTTTGCACCCAAAGTAGAGAGCTTACCAACAACCTTCTGGTTAGTACTTCGATCTTTAATTTTCAAGAAGGGAAACAGAATATGAAATCTTTATACTGTCAAACTTTCATTTCAATATACAGTCAAGTAATTTCACAGTACTAGTACATTTCCATTACACATTCTGCAATAGAATGAACCGCTTACAATGTACTTGACATACTATTTACAGTCATAATTTAACAAGAACAGCTCTCTATGTGACCAACAATACTGTTACTTTTGCTTTAGGTGACCTCAAAATATAGTTTCCCTTTTCCAATTATGCAAGTTGAGGTTTAATTTTGCCTGAACTAAAGCAGACTTTCTTGTGAAATTTCTAAATGGGGCCACGTGTTAGAATAATATTGTGTGACACAAATGCCAGCATGCACTACTTATGTTGTAGGGTTTGAATTAAACTGTTAAAGTAAGTCCGTCCTATGGTTTGATTAACACAAATGATATTTCCGTATAATTCAATTGTGTCTACCTGTGCCCTTGCCCCAAAACATTTTCTAAGATAATCAGTTGTTAATCTAAATCTATGCAGTATTACAATTAAATTTCTCTTTTTTTCTTGATATGGTTGTCATTGAGCACCTTTGAGTTAGGCTACTGTATGGGGAAGTAGCAACAAGAAAAGTTTCCGAACGTCTACCAATATTGTAATACTATGAGCCTGCTAGAATTTACACTTTGGATTTCTATGGTAACTGTGACAATGTACAACTGTTGGGGAATTGATATGTGTAAAAACGTTTACCAATTTGTTTGATATATGATTATTAAGTTCGTCAATTTCATTTGGTTGTCCTTGTACATATAGTAATGATTACATGGAAGTAGAAATATTTGGTGTAACTACAGTGACAACTGTAGTTGAATGATACCTCAATTTTTAAATGATTTCTTCTCAGCTGCCCAAAGGATGGTGGTTATTGTTCAATGTTCATGTTTCAAAAGTCAATGTCAGACAGTTTCTCTATCTTTCTTCAATTACATTGTGGTAATAAATGTTCTGTCAGAAACAAACTATACAACACAGGTTTGGATGACTGTTACCAGTACCTATCCATTCTGCACAGAGGTGGCCCTAGCATTATTCCTTGAGGAACACTATAAATTTTCTTCTTTTTTTTTTCCTCTTGGACATCACTCTGCAGGCTCGTAGTTACCTGTTTTAACTCTATTTAGAGCAGTACTAGTATTATGAAAGAAACACACTTGAAAAATAACTGTGTATATTTTGTTGTTGCCAGCATATATACATGTACAGGGCACTAATCAGTATGTTGTCAATGAGGTTAAATCATACATGTGTCTCATTAAGCATATCATCTAAGTAATATATGTCAAACTTGACTGTACATTTCTGACTCTTGTTGCTGTATAAAATAAGGAGTATGGCCGACACGTATTGAAAATTACTGTATTATTAAGACTATCATGAGGGTGGCTGGGGGATCTCTGTCAAAACCTGTACATTGGTGCAAAGTTTAAAACATCTACCATTTTGTTTTCCTGCGTCCAGGCATGTAGTGGTGACTGTTAGGTTTTACTAACAGCCATCTAGTTTTAGACACCACGTCTTGCACAGCACCGTTATTACATATCTATTAAGGTCTTCACCGAAAATGTTTGTTGTCTCTTTGTCCAAGCAAGCCTTATCATCCTAAAACCTCCTTGGTTTCTTTCAAATTGTCAGAACATTAGCTAAGAGTTCCCTACTGACTGTACCGTATTATCAGTGTACTGAATGGGGAATATGTTGTTGAACAAGCTGTACAGATACATACAAATGAATATCGTGTTTTCTCTATTCTAGGCTAGACAGGCTTGGCTAGATACACGTCCTTCGATGTAATATAATCAACCGCGACCGCATGCGTACTATTCCAGAAATTATTATAAGACGTGGTCATGGCACACTCAAATTATGTTTTTCAACTTATTTTTATGCAGCCACCAACGCAGACAAATGCATAAACGGACAACAGACATACTCATTTTCACCTGAGTGAAGTGAGGAAAGTCGTGCTAGTAAGTGCCTTTCCCAAGGGCCAGGCGGTGGCATCGGGCAGGATTCGAACCCGGGACCGTTTGGTTCTGAGCCGAATACCCTTACCCCACACGACCCCACAGTATGAGTTTATGAATTTTTAGTGAAATACTAACCTTTATTGTACATTCATGCCCTATCGGGCTAAGTACAGGTGAACAGATGAAAGGGTAATATACATGTTTGTAGTACAAACAGCTCTAAAACTACTCTAATACAGAGGTTCAGCTTCTTCTCGTTTCTTAGTGATGTCAAAAATATTATTTGAAATGGGTTTGTTTAATACTAGTATACAGGATGATCAAAGCTCATACGAAAGATGAATTTTAAGTAACAACTACGTGTAGGACTTGAGCATGAGCGAAGCCGGAACCTGGAAACGGCGGCAACGTGTGACAATTCCACTCTCCAGACTTCAGATCACATCTCTGCGTGCCACACGAGCTGACCAAGTACAGGGCCGTTCCCATGACGACGCAACCGTCGAAATATTGGCCGGTGATTGGCTTGTGCAGTTTGGTCCACTGGCGGGCCATGACGTCATACGACTGAAAGTCTCGCACAATTCCGCTCACGAGATCTGACAGCCCGAGAAGATACAGCTTTTCCTTCCAAGACGCCATGCATTGGACGAACCGCATGTAAGGAACCACACCAACGTCTTCCCAGATGTCTTCCTCTGGGTCGTATCTTATAAGAAGTTCGTCTGTTGGTCGCACGACTGTCGTATAGACGTGTCCCCGACAAGACGTACCGCAAGGTTGTGCTGTCTCCATAGGTATTGAGGCTGCTCTAACCCAAGCACGAGTTCTTAAGCTGTACGCTTCTACACTAGATAACAGCTTCTTTACACTGTTGCCCTGGTAGGGAAAACTCATACATCCTCCAAGAGCGTATAGATAGTCTTGATGAGGGACTAAAACAAAGTGTGCTCTGCTCTGGTTCATGCAGGGCAGTTCTCTCCATGTGTCTGTTATAGGGTCGTAGCAGGCGGCAGCTTGTTGCATCTGGTGGCAATCTGCTGAAGAGAATCCACCTACTACAAAGATGTAGTTGTGCAGGACAGCTACCCCGCATGCGTGGGTACAGAGGCTTGGCGGGAGTTCGCAGCCTGTCCGCCATTGCTGCGTGACGTCATCGAAGAGATGGCTGACGCGGGGAACGTCCGATCTTTCTTTGTAACTGTCGTCGTAGGAACCGATGGCAAATAGATATCGTTTAGGAGCGTGCCTTCTGTTGACGACAGAGTCTATCAGATCTTTAGGCAAATGTTCAAATGTCTTAGAACTAATTACGTCTAGGAAGTTCTCCGCTAGATGTTTTGAGACGGCCTCTTCGAGCTCTGGCAAATAGTGGGTCTCCGCCACCGAGAGAAATTCGATACAGTTGGTGACGTCTACGTGACGTATGCAATGTTCTATGACGTCACGCATCTGTAGAAACGCTGCGGCCGTCAGGAGTTCCGCGCCTATCTCGCACCGAAGTTTTCCGGTGTCCAGAAACGCCACCAGGTCTCTGAAAACTCCGGCAGAGACGTTACGAAGCACCGCGGCATTCTGGGTAGTCTCCTTCATTCCTGAATTAAACATGGCGGCGAAGAACTCGCTCTTTTCCACAAGCGTCCTCTTTTTGACCTTGAAAGTCTTCTTATCTACAACGATCGTCACCATGTCGCCTGCCCCGGGGTCTGTGGTGTTGGTCGCCATTTTTGGAGCTGTAAAAATAGCGAGACCGTCAACGGCTATTATTAATAGCCTTGTATTTTTAGCTGAGGTCTATAATGTTTTGCCAAGCAGCCAAGCCACACATTCTATAAAGAGTAGTATTTTGTTTACATAATTATGCAGTAAAATATCACATGCAACAAGAAAACACACAGAATACAGTTTTTCTTGCCATAAATTATGGCTATTATTAACGGTCTTATATTTCTAGCTGAGCTCAATGATGTTTTGATAGCAAACAACTAAGCCACCTTAGAGTAGTATTTTGTTTACATAATATGATAGCATGCATTAAATGATTACATGCAACAAGAAAGTCACACACATAGAATACAACTGTCATTGCCATACGTTACCACCGATTCTGTTTTGGGGTTGATGCCGACCTTTCAACCTACATAACTGCCCTGTCCACTGAGACTGATGACGTCACCACCAAACATTGCCAACTAGACCCCGGACGTGGGTTTGGTTGGGAAGCTCGTAACATTTTTGTTGTAAGTATCTATCAATCTTTTTTATGTTTAAATCGTAATATCCATTGACTTCATAAGATTCTGCGATATGTTATTTGTGCACTATCATGTTAAGTACAATGATGCTATATTTAGGCCAGTTGGTGAATTTATTGCTTTGTTATGTACGGGTGGGGGGTAGATGGATTGTATACTATTACAGAGCTTGTTCGTGTACATGTTGCCAGTAGCAAATGTGTGTGCACCTGTTGTCTTGCTTTAAATTATCTATAACTTGTATAAGTTTTCTACAATTTTATACAAGCAACTATGGGAGGGCAAAATATACGCGTAGGCCATGCTGTATTTATTTCGGTATCAACTTACAAAATTTGCATCTAAATCAAGCACACTGCAGTACAGTGTATCTCGCAAGATGGCATTTTGTTTGATGGGAAGAACTGTTGTTGCCAAAGTTGTGGCCTAATAAATAAGGTACTACAGGCTGCCAGGTTTATTACGTTTATTAATCAAAGATACCCTTTAGACACTTTATGAGGCTACATAATCTCCCAGGGCTCGTTAAAGGCATCTAATACGATTTGAAACTGGAAATATTCTGAATGAGGCAATCTTTGTGATATTGACACATACTGCTTAGCATTAGCACATTTCAATCAGTATTTCATTCTTTGGGTCATTTAAGTTAAAACTGCAGAAACAAGCCTCAAGATGAGCCGTTCATTTTCTTGGTGGTACCCTAAAAAGCAGCCAAGCGCCCTTCCAGTCACCATTTTCAGTCAGAATTTTGGGACTTTTTGATCCGTGATGGTCAATATACATTGGGATAGTGTGGTTTTAACTTAGTATGTAGATAAACGACTAGAACATTAGCTTTTAAAATCGGATTTTCAAGCCCTAAAAACTGCACTGGATAACTTTAACGATACAAACCTATTAAACTGATCTACACACAGAAGTACACATTAGCATACAAGCACAAGCTTTAAGAATTGATGAAAGAAATGAGTAAAGAATTAAAGTCAGAGGTCAGATCAGAGAACTGTCACTTGAAACGTAATTTTATAATAAAGGGTTAATGCCCCACCCCGATGTGTATATGGTGAGATAATCCCTGGTCAGTTGTGGTAACCACCGAATAAACTACCAAGTGAGGCTATATCATAATATCCATTTTCTATCCAATCGTCAAAAATGATTTGCCTTCGTATAATACGGTTTAGGGACATCATAAATTGCCGTTAAAAGATTTGGGTTTTGATCACTGTTGAAAAATAGTCGTAAAATGTGTGATAATAAACCCAGGCGCCGCGTTTATCATTTAAATGATATAATATGCATACATATAAAATACTGTTTACTATTTTTATGGACTTTTTCCCATTTTCTACGGCAATGAAACTGCGTATGGACCTTCAGATAGGCGCCAGATTCTGCAGACAACGTTTTATGAGTAAATCCTTGAAGTAGTAAAAATCCTTCCGTCCAGTAAAATTTCTGCCACAAATCGGCCACGCTACTGAAGCCTTGTCTGAGTTTTTTTATTGACATAAGGTCATGTTGATTTGATTATATGGATGACATCCTCATGCGCATGAATTTTCGGCCATTTCCAAAAAAAAGTTTTCAACCATACTGTGAATCGTACAAAACAGTTGCAAGATGACCAAATATATACCTTGGAAACCAATACCAATGTTGTAAAATGCAAACTCAAATAAAAAAGACGAAAATGTCATTAAAAGAATTTGAAGAGTAGATTATTCACCATACCATACTCTGTGCCATTTGTTCAACCTTCATGACCACGTAGATTGCATATTGAAAGCAACTTTTTTTGGCCAAACGTTTTTTTATTCGCACGCTCGCGTCAGTTTTAGGGTTCCCAGAGATTACCATCCATATAATCAAATCAACATGGCCCAACCGAATTTTTATAGCGACCAATCCGGCCTTCGTTCCGGGGCTTCGGCACCAGAATTATCCTGGTTACTGATAGATAGTGATAAATGGTAAAATGTGGTGATTAAATTTCCGAAGGATTTTGCTGGTCACAGAGTTACGGCGTTGCCATTTGCTGAATCACTAAAGAAATAAATGTTCTATTCAGAAACCAAAGTGGCCTAGTGCTCGGGAAGGAAGCCATAAGTTACAAGCATTTAGTTATACCAATAAAAAATCTAAATTCTGTCAATGGCAGTGATATTAGCCTCTTCACTTTAGCATAATTTCATTATGTGTGATTTTAGGTGAAAAGGATATCTGGGCATTATGTCGATGTTCTTGAGAGTTTTAGCTATAGAGTTTTCAAAATCCCTTTTCCTATCGTTAGTTTGTCGTAAAATGGGCATTGAAGCTTCTTCGAATATTATTTAATCTCTTTGACCCAGATTTTATATCACAGTCCATGGCAGCTGCCTTTATGGCAAATGATTTTATTGTCATTGGTTTAGAGTAAATACCAGATGCCGCTGAAGAAATTATCCTAAAAATGGCATTTACCTCGCTAGATCAAGAAAGAAAAAAATCCATTAATTTTTAATCTTTATAACACTGCAAAGCCCTAGAATTCGAAAAAAAAACACCTTGTGCTCTTGACAGTTTAATGCCTGGTCAAAATAGATCCATTACCCTAAAACGATAAGCTATACATTATATCTGATCAAAGAGGTAAAAAGGACAATTTACGTTTTATCATATACTGCAAAAGAGGTTTAGAAATTGGCAAACAACAAAATGCCATATTTCTTATTACGAAAAATTGATTTTTAGTCAACGTAAACCTAGGCCTTTGAGATGATTGAAGGATCATTGAGAGAAATGTTCATAAATTGACAAAAGGCAATAATTCTACTCGTTTGCTTTAAAAAGACCTTGGGATGTTCGAAAGACCACCTAAAGGCATTGGAGAGCATTAAGTTTCATTGGAAGAAAGGTTTTAGACATTGGCAAACAAAAAAATGTCATATATCCACTTGTTATGTTTACCGAAGAAAAAAAGAATTGCTTTTTCCCAGTTTCCTCTTCTTCTCCAAACCAAAAAGGTCAATGACCTCAAACCAGACGTCTGTCACCATGATAACTGGTGTTGGGTTACATCATGTTGCAATTTTATAGCAGAAGGGATTTAGACTCCTGTCTGACCATATATATGAATGTGTTTGAGTAAGAATTAACAGAGCAGACCACATGCGAAGATAAACATTATGCAGTTGCATGCTTTCCAAATGTTACATTTCTAGTTACATTTTAGTTTAGGCAAAGTAGATCAGAAGAAAGCTTCTGGTTTGGTACTGTTCTAGTTAAAGTACAAATGTGAAACCTTAGAGTTTATTGAAAAAGCATTTGAAGGCATTGGAGAATCTTAACGTTCATTGGGAGAAAGGTTTTATAGACATCTGGCAAACATGAAAATGCCACATATTCGCTTGTTACATTGTATTTTACCAAACTAGGTCAGAAGAAAGCTTCTGGCTTATATTATAAGATTGACGGATGGCACAGCTCTGTAGTAAGCTGCGGCTGTCCAACGTTGATACCATCACGAAATGACCCTAATGCATGTAATTGATGATGAATGACATCGTCAAAGCCAGGGTAGATTGACTGATGTTGTTAACTATGTGCTGGGGTTTTCTTTCATTCCCTTTTTAAAGGCTTTATATCTCTTTTACCTGAATATGTGTACGGTCTATTCATAGCAGTAGAATAAAGGTAAATATGAAAATAGTGCAGAAATACGTCGTCAAAGCCAGCGGAGTTTGACTGATGTTGTTAACTATGTATGTGCTATGTGCTTGCCTTTATGCCTTTTTAAAGGCACCCAATGCGATTTTCGAGCAGCAAAATTTAAAATATTCTGAATAAGGCAATTTTTATTATATTGACACATATTGCTTCACATTAGCACATTTCAATCAGTATTTCATACTTGGGTACTTAAAACTACAGGAAGAAGCCCCAAGATGAGTCCTTTATTTTCTGGGTAGTACCCTAAAAATCAGCACAGGGCCCTTCTAGTAACCATTTCCCGTCAAATGTTGGGAATTTTTGCTCCGTAGGGGTCAATATACATTCGGACAGTGTGATTTCAACTCAATATATAAATAAATGACTAGGCTATTGGCTTTGAAAAATCAGGTGTCCAAGCCCTAAAAACCAACGCTTATTTTCCAACGGGAACAGCATGCCAATCACTGGTTTGATTTCTATTTTACAATTTGCTTATTTGAGTTTTTTGCTCACATGATTCGTTTGAAGGGGATCGCCAAAATCGATATCATTAATTCACTCGGCATAATCCTCTATCTTCAGCACTTTTCGTCATTGACGTTTCTGAGCCCCATGTAAATTCATGGAGGTCACAGGCCTAACCCCCTGCTCCGTTTGAATCCACTCGCTGTGCGGGGCTTGAAATGTTTTTTTTCTGCATAACTGCACTGATGTAAGTAACATTAAAAATCACTTGCACCATACAAATTTTACCTGTAACGCTCAGAGTATAGA